TACATATTCATTAGGGATTGCTTCATAGATTGCGTCATTCTGGCGACATTCCAGTCCCTTCTAGTGGTCTTCGGTGGTCGTTTCTGATGAAGTAAGATGTCTTCCTCGCCGTGTACTTTTTACCTTTCGTCCTTCTGGTAGGTTTCCAGGCCCATTTTAGATGCCTATCTCCTCCTTATTCTTCTTGACTTTTCAGGCATCCTCGGTATGCCACTTCAGTAGCTTTAAACTATACCCCTCTCCCATTATTATAGAATGCAGTACCAGATCACAAATATACAAAGATTTTACACCAAGTTCAGAACATCTCGTATTTTCCAACACCATCACTACCAACTTGCTCTCACGTGAAACTAAGAAGCAGATTCCCTTTTGGTCAATGCAATGGAAGAACCAATTCCACCCTCCAAAACCTTCTACGTACCCAGACTCTCCCGAGGAGGTGGCATATCCACGGTACAGCGGTAACGGACGGAGTGAGGCTCTCCCACACCGGCTGCTCTGCAAGGGGTGGAGGAGGCGAGAGTTAAGCACTGAGTACCCTGAAACATCCCTTCACCCAACAGCAGCGTCACCCCATCGCCACATCTTGCACACCTTCCAAAGGGAAGCACTAACCGGCACCGGAGCAGTGATACTGGACCCCGTTTTCCCTAAACAAAGCATGGTTTTCTCATGGGCAGCTTGCAGGTTAAGGGCATTTTAAGAAACAATCAGGCATTTTGAAAAATGAGGGAAAAAAAAAACAGAACACCACATCTTATTCCTGCATTTATTTTGCCTATTTAGGTTCCCCACCCCCAGTTGGGGCAGTACAACTTGATTAGCTCAGATTCTCCTCAACAATCTTGTACACCAGAACAGCTCAGCTGTGAGCAGTGCAGAAGACAACAACAGCTGTTTAAATACTTAAAAGTAATCAAAAACTATATTTAATACTTCAAAGTATTTTTATTTCTGAAGACGTACTTGAGCTTCCAAACCAAGGCTTTCTCCTTAAAAGAGTTAACAACGCATCCACTTTCCAGACAGACATCAGATTATAATATAAATGAAATTACTATATGAAGAGCGATATTTCATCACATTCTACTCAACAAAACCCACATTACCCAAGATTTTTATCGTCTTTATATTTTAGCTGAAAATTAAGATTAACCAGAAAGACTGGTTAAACTACTGCAGCCTACAGAAGGAAAAACTCTGTCCCCCTCAGGTGTTTCTTTTTTTCCCCACACACGAATTGGTAAGAGGAATACCAGACCCATGGGAAATAAGAGAACAAGGCACAAAAGGAACTTTTCCCACAGTTGAGATATTTTGAGCAACAAGAATTCTTTTTCTTTAAAAAAGAAAAAAGAAAATTGATGGATGCTCCAGTACAACATAATCCCAGGAGACAAGTTTCTCTATTTCCTTTTGCATATGGCAATAAGTAACAAGCAAAAGTCCTGTGGTTTAGGTCCCATCCTTGTCCAACAATGTAGAGAGGAAAGGCAGGAACACTGAATTCTTATTCCTTCCAGAACAGCAGCCAAATTTTTGCATGTGTACAGCAACAGGAAACACGCTTTTCTTACCCCTGAGACCTTCACGAGCTCTAGCTGTGCTCTATGGCTGATCTTCTGTTTTCAACACACAGAACGGGAGACAAAATAATAAATAGATTCTGTAATGTTTTTGATTATTAGATTTGCTTGCCCCAGAGGCATACACCAAGGCTTCACCAGTCCTTTCAAATGGAACACCACTAATAAAAGCCTCCTAAATCATTTTGTAATCAACTGCTGGACATGCTTCTGAGTTTCAGTAGGTCCCTATTACACCATGAAGCATAGAATGAGCAAAATGCTTGAGCGTTATGCATACAGCTGAACCAAATAAAATGAGGGGATGAAAAGAAGCTATTTTCTATTGATCTGTTCAATTCCAGTCCCTTCCAGTGCTCTGGGTTTATGCTATTTTGCCTGATGCTCACATGGAGACAAGCTGTGACTCCCAAGCCCCTCACCAGGCTTTCTGGAGGTCATCCCACCCTGTGCCACGGCAAGAGGCAGCTTAAGGCAACTCACTCACCCGTCATTGGGTGGACTTGCCTTCTAGGTGACCCTGGAGGCTGCCACAACCATCACCTCGGTACCTGGGCCAGTTGATCCATTTTCATGTTGGCTACAGCCCTACTCACGCCTCATGATGGCAAATAACACCAAACCCATTTAGCTCTCCCACCTTCAGTAAACACACCTGCTCCCGCACTCTGGAAGAGGCCAAATCCTCATTTTTCTTCATCGTTCATCAAGATGTTCCACCTACGCTGCCAGACTCTGGCACTAATGTGCACGTAGCCATGGGAGCGATAACTGAAACCAGAAAAAGTCCCCACCAAAACTCTTTCTGTCAAGATACTGCAAACAGAAACTCCCACAGCTGGCAGAGGAACAACCACCAAAAATCTTTACATACTAAAACTGTGTCATTATGGCTGCCTGGGGACCACCACAGCTGGAGCAGAGAACAGACCAAGGATGCTGCCCCAGCAAGAATGTGTCTGTTGAAGGTTCTGCCCCAGGCAGGAGGATGCGGGCACCGATGGTGCCTTCCCTTATTAGCGAGGCAACAGGCAGCGCAGCCAGAGGGAGCATCCCGGTGTCACCATGCTGGTGTCCCTTTCAGGCCTGATGGCATCAGCATCTGCCTGACGACCTCTTAACAGCCAGAGGGTGTTACTCCCATGATGGGAGTTTTCACTACTGGTGGAAAAACTACCAAGTATCATCTCGGATCAGGTTAGCGCTTCTTGATTCGAGTCCACAATTCTGCATCTCTTGCAAAACAAGCACTGTAGTTAAAACATTTGTTTCTTATTTCCAGTTTCTGCCTCTTTTGCCACTGAAAAATACACAAGTTTTAGTTGCAGAAAGTCCATGAGACCAGCAATGGTCTCCATGTACAGTTTGCCGCAAAGCTTCCCTCAATATGAAAAAATAAAATGTATAAAAAAATATTTCATTGCATGCCCACTTTTGCTGTCCAAACTAAATCTCTGTTGTACTTGATCTCATCAGGAAAAATGAGTAAGAAAAAAAAAAAAAAGTTGTTTTTTTGAGTTTTGAAACAGCAGGGGTACAGACAACAAACTCCACAAGTGTTGCAGCATCTCTGTGTTTGCACAACTCTTCCACCAAACGTTTATAGACCCAAAACACAACACTGACTTTCCTGGTGCCGTACAGTCATTCTAGACACATTCTTTTAAAGACTAAACACACGCCCAGAGCCCTAAGTGATAAACATCTGCAAAAGCCTGGTTCTTCTCTTCTCAACTCCCAGCTCAAACTTTCCACAGCCCTGCAAACCCAGAGCCTTATTTTAGCGGGCATCAGATGACCTGGCCCGGAGAGCTCTCCAGCCTTATAAAGCAGCAGAGGAAGTGCCAGCTGCTGTGGTGGAGAAGGCTGCTAGCTTTATAACGGGTACCTTTCAACTGCAGAGACGGCGGGGGGTGAATGCACAGCTTTTCCTTTGCTGAACTGTGTGAATAGGGAGTAAGGAACACTGGGATGCAAAGCAGAATGCAAATCAGCAGACACCTGAAATACAAGCTGGGGCCAGAGCAGGGGAGATGCCCTCACCTATAAACACTCGCAGCTTCTTAAAGCTGGCCGACTGCTTTAAAAAGGCTCTGTATCATATTATCATAGAATGGTTTTGGGTTGGAAGGGACCTTAAAGATCATCCAGTTCCAACCCCCTGCCATGGGCAGGGACACCTCCACTAGAGCAGGCTGCTCAAAGCCCCATCCAGCCTGGTCTTGAACACTTCCAGGGATGGGGCAGCCACAACTTCCCTGGGCTACCTGTTCCAGTGTCTCACCACCCGCACAGGAAAGGCTTTGTCCCTGATACCTAATCTAAATCTCCCTTCTTTCAGTTTAAAACTGTTCCCCCTCATCCTGCCCCTACACTCCCCGTCTCTCCTGTAGCCCCCTTCAGGCACTGGAAGGCTGCCATAAGGTCTCCCCGGAGCCTTCTCTTCTCCAGGCTGCACAACCCCAGCTCCCTCAGCCTGTCTCCACAAGAGAGGAGCTCCAGCCCATCACAGGACGACACCATCCCCGTCTCTGCTGATGAGGAGGGACAAAGGTCCAGAAAATACACCCGGGGCCCTTTCCCCTGCACAGAGTCGCCTCTTCCTGCCCGACTGGGAATACTGAGGGGTCCCCGTTACAGCCACCTAGCACTACCACCTGAAAGCTGACGCTACTCGTCACCCTGAGCACCGGGTCCCCCGCCACTAACGGCACGGCCGGGTGGTCGGACCCACCGGGGCTCGAAACGGGGACGGGCTGCGAGCCCGGGCCGGGGCGGCGCAAGGGAGGCCGCAGCGGGGAAGGCAAGGTCACGTCCTTTCCCACCTTTCAGCAGGCCCAGCCGCCCCGCCGCCGCAGAGCCGGCCTGGGCCGTGTGCCGCCGCCAAGCCCTGCCGCCCCTGCGGGCTGCGGCCGCTCCCCGGCGCTGCCCCGAGGCC